TCTTTCATTTAATATATCGGAATTTGATTTAATATGTTTCTGTGATAAAAAAAATAGTAAGAACAGCAGACGATAGATTCCATAAAAAATTACAATAATGAAATATGTTTTAACATCTATCAAGTACATTTTCCAATGTTATTTTAAACATATTTCCACGTGAGGACTTATATCTTGAATTTCAGCTATATCGATCTTTTCGCACACTGGATTATTTCGTAGATCTAGTCTTCTCAAAGTTGTGTGCAGTTCTATTAAGTCGACTATCTCCTTGGTGCTCGTTAACATGTTATTTCTCAAAGAAAGAACTTCGAGATTGTCTAAAGTAGGAAAATGTTTCAGTGATGTCAAGCCATTACTGGACAGTGACAATTTCACGCAGCTTTGCAATGTGGAAAGCTGATACAAAGAATTTTTTAGTTGGTTCGCACCAAAGTTCACTTCTTCAAAGAAGCTGAAGTAATGATTATTGTGCAATTTCGTCAAGTCTAATCCCGACAAATCGATCTTTGGCTGTATTTCTAAATCGCTTTCCTCTTTCCATATCTCGAGTAGCTTGTACTCCACTAAAAAGCTGCTTCCTAAAATCAAAGATAACATCGGTAGAAGCATACATGTACCTGTACATAAAGAGTCAATATAATAAAAAGTTAAAAAGTCAATCGATTATTTTTAGTATTACTAAAATCTAGAGAGAAATTACGAATATCCTAATGTTAGAAATATTACTTACGCAAATCTTTGTAATAATTCTTGCGAAGACTGTCGACTTTTGTCAGCGCCGACAGATTATCTAATATGTCGGTATAAAATTTTTTGAAATCAATCTTCTTCATCAGTAATACACCGGTTAATAAGGCCCACTTGTTATTTGGTTCCATTTCGCAAAGTTGGTTGTAGCACTTCAATTGTTCATTTAATTGCTTATCGTTGCTATTTTGTTTGTGCAAGCTTGAATTATCTTTGTAAATCCATGCACTTTTTAACTCTGAATATGAAAGCTGATATACTGTTTCTTGTAGCTTTACAGAAACTTCTTTGGCATGATCTAAATTTTCTAACGATTTGGCAAACTCTTCAATTCGTAGCTTGGCAAACTCTTCATCTGGATATAAATGCCATGAGATTAAATCAACCATTTCGCCATTTACAAATAATTCAAGCGAAATTGGTTGAATTAGAACATTGTTATCGATGACAACGGTAGCTCTATCTTTCTCAATTTGAGCACGCCACAGCCTACAAGTTGTCCTGGGCTTGTCTAAAAGCCATCTTTGGTAGAACCATGCGCTAGTATCATTGGGGTCGGTAAATGTTGCGTTCATAACTAGATCGAGCTCTGGAAAATATTATTCGTTATTTCACGAGATAGAGCGAAATAAATTCAAGTAACTATTACACTTACCCTCTCTGTATCTATCGTCTACAATCGGTATCTCTTCGGATGTAGTGCCAAACATTTTGGTTAGTATTCGGCTTCTGTAGTGCCAAGACGAGTAGTTTGAAAAGTTACTCAGTATTTTCGTAGTGGAGAACTCGAACTCCTCCTCGTTAGAGATCCCAGCTTTTTGTACAACAAACTCTCTGTAATCCCAGCAGTGAACTAGGGTAAAAAGAAGTCTTAGTCAAAAATGTCAACTCGTTGGAAAAGTGATGCTGCTACATTTCTAAGTGTATATCTTCATTGCCAGTGTGCATTGTACACACAAATGACAAATACTAACAATTTCTTTCGTCTAGGTTTAGGCATTCTGCACACATTGACAATTCTTTCTTCCAATCTGGTTCAGGCATCCGTTCCATCACCCAACACCTTTGGTGCCACAAGCTATACGACTTGGGATTTTCTCTGAGGCACCGCTCGGTCAAGATCATCTCATTCTCGAGCAGTAGTTTGTAATCTACTTCGCTCCTGCAATGTCCTTATTAAGTTAATTTTGTTTGCTGCATTAACGAGGTACCTTGCCAATACATTACCATTTTTTATTCTCGAAAACTTGGCGACGGACATTCCACAGTGTATAAATGTCCGAGTTGTTCAACAGTATACGCTTAGTAACATTCAATAACTCAAGGCCCCATTTCTTAATCTCTAATATATTCCTCTGAAATATAGACGATATACGTTGCGAAAACAGTGTATGAGAATCGTATGCGACAAGTGCTACATGAAACAAGTCGAAACCTTTTGAGCTACTATGGCAAAGTCAGCCTTGTACTGGGCAACTTTAACCGCCCTTTCCTGCTTCTTGATCTCCTCCTGTTCCGCAGTCGTACGCACCTTCACTCTGCCATGCTTGAAAAAACAAATTTATCTCTTACACTTATCATACATATATAATATATCGAACTGATGAGGCAATAATTGCACATTTGAAACAACATCGTGAAAACATATCAGTTCATACACGGAAAGACAAATGTAGCTGCCGTAGCTAAAAACTGCATGTGGCAACTAAATTTTAGTTGCAAAGTATGGACAGCTAATATTTATAAGTTGTGATAGTTAAATATTTTGCTACTGTGCCTATTGTATTAGGTGCGACAGCAAACAGTTTGCTGTGCTTGAGAAATTTAGAGCAAAATATTTGTAGTAAACCACGATTAGCTACGATAGCGAAAATTTTGTTTTCAGTGTACAAATAAAAGTAAAATAATATAATTTGTGGAAGGATCGCCTCCTTACCATCGTAAATGTTCACTTTTTTTTTCTCGCCGGTGAGTCACGAATGCTTGGCAAATATGCTGGAGTGATGATTTACCATCAATCCAAGAATCGGGAATGCTTCACCTTGTTATTTCCACCATGCCAAGAATCATCAGATTCTAGATGTACGATCGACGACCAAACGCGACTTCTAAGCCACTGTCGAACGGATCGTTCCCGAGTGTAGATTCAATATACATTCCTAACACAAGTTCGGACGATTAAATAATTAGAAATATTTTCATCTGACAATTATCCTCGCGATCCCGCGGTCCCGGAGTTGGTCCGAGGAAGCGTTGCGAGCCTCGATGCAAGGACATCTCTTTTAACCTTCAAATTTATTTTTTAACAGGAAAAAAAGGCAGAAGGAAGGAGAGAGAGGAGGTACAGAAGGTGTAGTTGAAGAAATTGGCCGCGTTCAGCAGACACAACTGTTGAGTGAGCGCTCAGTATGATTGGTTAATACTTTCAGATCCAGCCAATCATGTTAAGAAATCAATGGCCGCGTTCAGCAGACACAACTGTTGAGTGAGCGATCAGTATGATTGGTTAATACTTTTAGATCCAGCCAATCACGTTAAGAAATCATTGAGCGCTCACTCAAGTCCCAGTCTACAATAGATGATTTAAGCCCTAAGCTTTAAGAAATTGGCCAATCACGGTCAAGTATGAGTAGAATGCGCGACTGTGATTAGTCAATAGACTGGGACCAACAGTTGTGTCTGCTGAACGCGGCCAATGAGTCGCAATTGTAGAAGGAGGGAGTTCCGCGGTGTGGATGCGGTTTTAAACCCCGTGTTTTGTTTCCACTCTAGAGAAAAAGTTACATGATCGCTACCCAGTTGGCAGGTCCGTCTTTGTTGCACATTCAAGATGGCCTCCTCTACGGTGGCGACCGCCACGATACGAGCTGTAAAGGGAAGGAAAATTCTTTCGACTCGCGCCGCGCTCACTCTGGTTAGTGTGTTATCGCCTTTCGCACTCTTTTTCTAAATTCGAAAGCAACGGCTCGTCCATTTCCACTTTCGCCTCGTACTCCCGTTGCAACGCGTCCGCGTACGAAACGAAGACTAATGACGCAGAATGATACCTTCGAGTGAGCTCGCCTAGCGATCGTCGCGTTTAATAGCACACGAGTTTTGCGACGCATTATGTTTCTCATTTATTGCGTAATATTTCGTAACATTGCGTCATGCCAATGAATTCTAATTTTATCATTTTCAAGGAGACATTTTCATGTAAATGTTGATGAGGAATTGTTTTATCTCCTAGACACCGAACGCTGTCAAGAAGATAAAGGAAATTTTGAAAGATAAATGCGAATATGTAAGTGTGTATGTAGTAAGATTACGGTTATGCATATAACAATAATTAAGAAAGCAAGAATGTTCACTTGATACATGGCAAAGATTATTGCATGCATTCGATTTATAGATCGGTCTCAAGGTTGGAGTACGTCAGCGGGGATGTAACGGTTTGAGCTACACCCTCGACTATGCCAAAGAGAAATCCAAGCTTGACGAGGAGGTGGCTCAGGATGGCGTTCGCATATTCATCGATCGAAAGGCACAGCTGTCTCTTCTTGGAACAGAAATGGATTACACCGAGAACAAATTGAGCTCCGAGTTTATATTCAATAATCCAAATATTAAAGGGACATGTGGATGTGGAGAAAGTTTTTCAGTCTAGTGAAAATTTTATGTAACACATATTGTCGTACTTGTACGTGATATGTAATTACATGTAATTAGTTAGTTAAATTTAGGACCTTTAATATATCTTGTGATATACGATAGCATATCTCTGTCTCTTCTCACAGTCGGAGAATTGAATCTGTAAAACTGGTGTAACGATCATCATGATTTATCATTTTCCGTAAGTTTTGTATATACCTTGCCATCTACTGTTATACATATATATATCTCGTTATGTTTTTGTTTTATGATACGTGTTCACCGTAGGATAATTAAAGCTATATTATGAGGGAGAGTAAAAATGTATTTTCTATTCATATTTTTTGCATTTTATTTTAAAATACAAATTACAGCTTGTTCTTAGGACGTTTTACTTGGAACGAAAACTCGATACATTTTTTTGATAATACAACTTGTAAAATTAATGCGAATGTGTCAGAAAGTTTCGTGGTATTTCCGGGAATATTTAAATTTGCTCAATTTGTTTGACTTTTGATTTTTTCCAGCTGTGTGATTCTGCGAATTTTGCGCAAGCCACCTTGTACTCGCATTAACATGGTTTAGATCCTTCTCGAACTCCTCTTGGTATATGCATAGATATAAAGATATCGAAAGATCTATTTATTCGCTTAAAATTGTGAACATTTGTCGATCATTATTCCCTTTGCCTTCAAAATGTTTCCGTTGGCAAAAGCCGCCTCGAAGAAATTCGGACATGTAGGTGTAGAGATACAAACAATTTTTAATATTAATGAAAAGCGATATGCTAAGTCCCGGCAGGACGCGTCGGTATCGCAGATAGAAAGGGTGACGCATGACCAATTGTTAATTAACCGCGTTAACTGAGTTCTCTACAAGGAAATTCTGGAGATGCCGCGAGGCGGATCCGATGTTCGCCTACGTATACATATTTAAATTCGGTTTTATTCTTCTTTGTTCTTTTTTACAACGCCGACTCCTCCTGGGTGTGGGGACACGCTGATAATCCTCCGTGACCGTGAAGCCCGTTTCCTCGTCTTTTTCGGAGCCGTAACGTGTGGCATTTACGACGATATAACTTGTAAAATCGCATTTTTTCTAATGATAATGTTATAAATGTTATAATCATGATCGGCCAGCGGCATACGATACTATTTTACTTATTAGATTGTTTGCGAGAACCAATCAGGATTTAGCCTTAAATCTGCTGATTTAAAACTCTGCATCCAGTTATTGGCTCTCGCAAGAAATCTAGTAGGCGAAATAGTATCGTGTGTCGCTGGCTTTACTTGGCCCTCGTGAGTTTAAAATCTCACGATGGACCCGCTGAAATTTATCTGACACCTTTCTCGCATAGATAAGTAATTTTATACACTGTGGAATTAATTGGACAGCCGTCTCTGCACTTTCTTCTATATGCTCACATTTTTTCGACAGTCTAGAGCGTTCGCATCATTGTTTTTTAAAGTAAAATTGTAAGGTTTCTAAGGTATATTTTTCCAAGGGTCTAACTATCGAAATTATGAATATAAATAGAGGAAAGTCCTCTATTATAAGATAGCGGAGTTTCTGCTAAATTAATAGACGTTCTGTTGGTTCCACCATGGATTTATTGCCCTTGGAGCGAAATCTGTTTAGTGGAAAATTGATTGTCAGATCGTTTAATCGTTTCGAAAAAAAATGTGTGATTGAATTTGGACGTTGAAAACTATTTCGTATTAGAATCCTATCTGATAATAGAAGACTTTCCTCTATTAATTCCTGAGGTCTGGCACGAATTATAAATTGTCTCAAGTGAGTTCAACATCTTTGTCACCTCGAGTTTCGCATATATTGCCTAGTGGTTTCAATCGTGCAATATAACGACTGTCTCGTCACTCTCGGATTCGTCATAGAAAGAGTTGCGTGAATCAGACGATTCGCATTCATCGTGTCGGACGTAATAGTGTACGTGGATTAGTGTCGTAATGATTTTTGTTTTTCCTGGTTATTATCAGGATCATTATCTAGCATTCGTGACGCGAAGTAGTACGTACGATACGTGTTACATCGATACCGAGAAGAGATCTCAGTCCGCAAAATACAATCTGCGAGATGCAACGCTTTCAGGAAGCACCTAAACAAGCTCCAAAACAGTTTAATCAGATGTAACGGACTTTTCCTTAGAGATAATGTCAACGTTAGGAATAATCTTGACGTTGTGATTAATGAAAAAAGAAAGTGTCTCTTGATGAAGCACCCTCTAAGAATTCGCATAGCTAACCAGCGCCCGCATACTGGTGTTAGTGATAGGCGAGACTTATTTAAATCATTGTGTCATCCTCATCTTTATCATTATTCTTATAACTTCAAGGTTCAGTTTCGGCAGTGGAACCGTTAAAGGTACCATCGCGTTCGACGGTAGACGTTAATCGGTTCTCGTTTCTCCTTTTCTTAATTTTAATGTTGTGTAATTTTGTTTTCCAGATTAAAGGAGCGAACACCTGCAGTGGAATCGCATTTGGGATGCACGAGTAACGTCGACGCGCGTCCATGTCGTCCGCGGCAGAGGATAAAATTGGCGAGACATCTCAGATGGACCAAGAGGAACCAGCGTGATGTGCTGACCGGCATAGTATATCGAAGGACAGTGACGATCCGCACACCAAAATGGTAGGGGGGTACTGGCCAGATCCGGAGGATGGTATAAGAGAAGAAGGGATACGAAACCAACGTCAGTTATATTGACTTTCTTTTAAGCGACACGCGCGTTACACACTCCGCGGGAGGATACACATTAAGTAAGTACACGCGCTCGGTTTATTTGTCGAGTACGAGGGTTACCGCGAGTAATTCGCGCCTCGTCGCACTTGTCGCGTCGCGCCGCAGCGGTCTCGCGGGCTGCAAAGTCATTGCGAGGTACTCCAAGTACCGAAGCTGGTAAACGTTTTGACAAGCCCGACGCCGGGTACCGTAGACATCGAGGAACACTTTCTTGATACACCTGCGCGTCAACTGTCGCGTTTTAATTGTCCGCGAGTGAAGCAGGAAACGTTCGCAGAATTTGCCAATGACCAAAGATTACACCGGACTATGCTCCGATAGCTGCAACGACAGCTTTGTTTAATCAATTTGCACTTCTACTTTTATAAGGAACATAAAGAATAATGTTACCTCTTGTTATTAGCAGAATAATCGTTCCGTTTCTTCACGTAAAGCTTCTGAAGTTGGACAAACAAATGTTACTCTCTTGGATAACCGAAAGTCTTCAGTTAATGCCAGGTCAAGTTTAGTTTAGCAGAATCTCTTTCGCGATGTCCTTATATTTCGTTAGACAATAATTATCCGATGTTGAACAGTCAGCCGAATTGTAGCACGCGTAAAATGTAGGACAATTAATTTGCATACTCTCTGCAAATATTAATTTTATTTTTGTAAAAAATATATATTAAACCGTTGATAAACTTTTTTTAATACTCTCGCGCAATACAGGGTCACGAACGAAAGCTTCCGAGAAAAAGTCGTCCACTCGCCATATCGGCTTGGTATCGACAGGTATTGGTCCGCTCCAAAATTACCGGAATGTTGGAATGTAGGACGTTAAGACTCTACGTTGAGTATCCCTACCGCTTTTCCTTTCTCCAGTCGCCAGTGCGACGTTTTCGAAAGACGGAAGACGAGAGTCCCTTCGAGATAAATCACAATTAAATGCGGCCCACATCGTCGGCGAGTCTTCAATTAATCAATAATATTTTCTCGATTGCGACGTGCAGTAACAGCGTACTCTCGGCAGCGAGGAAAAAAAGCGTGCGCCGAGATTAATGCGTTTCATCAATAAAAATTAATGGTCGCCATGTGCGCCATGGGAGCGCGTATGTGAGCGGCGTGCCTAAAAATACCCCAAGAAAACAAGTTTCGCTCATTCCGCGTGCACGCGAAATTCGAAAAGTATTGAGGAAGAGCTGCGACCTTCCCTGGACGTTCTAATTTTAGTAAATTAATAAAACGATTTCCCTCAACTGGACACGGTTGAGTCGCCGGAAGACTTTTTCATATTGAAGGTGAGTCGACTAGACTCGCTAGACAAGCGCGTTTGTTGAATGCACTACGACAAATTCTTGCATTTTTACATCGCGATTTATCTACTGATAATCGCTGTTTGCAACGGAGGAGATCCAGAAAGTATGTCTATTTGCCTTTTGTCTGCTTCTTTCGCAGCACGAATAATTTAACGCGGACGCAAAAAAACGCACGCTAAATTTATGGAACAGAACATACGAAACAGTCTCGTAGCATAAGACCCTTGGGAGAATATACCTTAGAAAACCTTAAAATTGCACTTAAAAAAAAAAGAAATATGAAAAGTAAATTTGGACACTACATACATCAAATGCTAATCTCAAATATGTAAAGCTGCCAAATATGTAGATGACCTATGCTCGCCACAGATCCTCACGATAATTTATAAAAGTATTTCAAGAAGAATGCAATATTAATTAAATGAAGCGAACGTAGGATAGAGACTAATAAGAATTTTTCACTCCAAAAAATGATCTTGCAACTGCAGCAACAATTTTCTAGGTACGAAAAAGTAACAGATATATAAATAAATAACCAATACTGCGAAATTGTATATGTTTTGTATAACTTGATCAATTTAAATGACAGAAACAGAGTTTCTATCTGAATTATTAGAGCGAATGTTAGGAGGAAAGTCTTTCTGCGGTGCCCATCCATTATAACGTTTCATTGTGGTACATAAACAATTATATTCCTTACAAAGATTGTTCTAGCTATGGCACCGAAAATTAATTTTTATCCAATGTGAATGATTAATATTTAGTCATGAAATCTAAACTTTCCAGAATGTATCACTAGAACGTTGTTGCTATAAATTTTTCAGGCTACAAACAATTTTCTAACAGATACAAAGATTAACGGTAAATTTTGATTGCAACAGCTCGAAGTCTACATGCGTTAGTAAGATATTTTTTTGAGTGTCTTTGGAGCCTTGAATCGGCCCGAGTCTCGAAAACTTGAGTCATCCGCGCCAGGTTTTTTGCATTATACCATCATCTTCACCGTAATTGACGTAGATTGGTTGTTCGGGCACAAGTGGGATTAGGTAATTCCGTGTAGATCCGATCAAAATGATTCCGAAGTGTCCTCCTCGAGCACAAAATATGCATGCGAATATAGACATCGTTCTCGTCGACAAATTATGAAAAATCGCCCCGATATCTGAAATATTTATGAGGGTCATATACTTTGGAAAGTGCTATTTATCTCGTTCTACGTACGTCGTTGGAGAATCACCTTCTCCCCTGAAGAATTCGTAAAATGCATGTATAAGATTTCGTGAAATCTGACTGAAATATCAGGACAGATATCTTCAGTCCCAAATTCGTTCGAGCTTATTGAGAGAAGAATGAACAAAAAATTATTGGAATTCACAACCATTTTTCGTGGAGCCATCAGTCGCGTAAGGAACATGAGCGAATGGACGATAAATGTAAACTAGATTGGGCAAGTTTTTGCATATAGATATTGGATTTGGATTGGAGACAGTTTGGAAATTAAATTGGCGTCAACTTTTTTTAATTTTCCAATGCCGTATTTAGAATTTGAGCTTCAAGACTTTCACCAAGGAAATTTCAACTCCCTCAAATTCCACAAGGAACACGCGTCACTTCGTGACGTATAAAATCATTTACCGAATGTCCTGTACAGATAAAAACGTGACGTCGCATCACAACAGCTGTCAACTTTCGACCCGTTAAACGACAACAATAATGATTCATGAATTACAACAGATCTCCCACGCGGTAATTTGGCGGGATAAAAAAGGATACCGGGCAAAAATAATCTCTCGGATAATCTCGGGATAAGATCGTAAAAAGAACCCAGGCGGCCTTGCGTAGTTAAGTTACAGTATGGAAGTGACCTTTACAAAATTATGTGGCGATCGTAATTTGAACTTAATTAAATATGTTGTGAGTACATCACGACGCGTAATTACGCGATTTAAAATCGTTTCCAAGTTATTTTTAGGCAAAAAACTGCAAATAAAGAAGCAGTCTACGTTCCCTTGCCGAAGATTTCACAACGTTAACTTACAATTCTTACAGCATCGAACAGAGAGTGATAATTCTCTTGTATCACACTTTATTATTAATTGTCTTTGAATTAATCTTGATGCAAAAATGCACTGCTTCGTGTCGTGCATGTGTATCTATAAGTCTTCTTTATTCATACGATATATTAAACAGATAAACAAAATAAAATATATAATTCAAGGAGGCGTACGAGGTTAATTAAAGCAATATTTTCTTGTCTTTTAATTAGGCATGCCGATTTAAATTGTAATGGCGACAACTTTTGCGCCATGGGAATTTAATCGTTAACATCGCTTTCTCATCACGCGAGATTTACAACTGTTCGCGTCAGGATCTGGGGTGCGTTATGCAGAAAGTCGAATTTCCTTGTTATAGCGGAAAGGTGTTGAATACACAGACTTCTATATACTGCTAGACTGTTACCTTTGAGCTGAAGAATGAGGCAAGAATTTCGCCATGTCTTGTTAGGTGAATGACACACCGATGCACACATACAACTTTATTTACCTAACAAGACATGGCGGAACGCTTGCCTCACTTATCAGCTCGAAGGTAGCGGTCTAGTAGTATACGTATAGAAGTCTGTGGTTGTACAATTCTTCGCCAATTTGCAGATTGCCAATAATATTAATTCCACTATGACGCAACGTATTTAATTGAATTCCTCGTCCTCGTAAATTGATCAGAAATGCATAACAGATATACGACCGAGTTTCATAACGAGTCGCTTCTTCGCCGTACGTCGCTATTTCAACGGGATGGCGTTCTCTTTTTACCAAAAATTCAACCCACAGCCTCTTCCTCGCCTTCCCGACGTCACGCTCGAAGATACCGGCGCGTGTAGGTGGCCCGTTATGGTAATGCGAAATAATCGGTTGTGTATTGTATATCGTAAAATTTCGCATTCCACAGTGCTAACGTGTCGCACAGTTATAATGCACGTTAAATCTTCCGCGTGCGGGGAAAGGCCGGTTCACGGGTTACGTTATTTCAAAGTTTTGCAATCCGAACGGGCGTTACCGGAAGCAACTTGAAAGGGGGAATCGTGAAAAGTCGAGGCTGAGTGATCGGAGGACGCCCGGATGATGGGCTCGACCTCGCTCCCTCGCTTGTCTCTCTTCGCGAATTAATATCCTGTGTCGTTGCTTGACGCCGGTGGCAACGGCTTCTCAAGGCCGATGTAATTTCCTTCTTGAGGCGCCACAAGGGTAATTAATCGTACATTATCCCTCGTGGGAAAGTGACACGAAGATAAACCGGGATCCCCTCGACGAGCGAAGCCTCCGCGTTTTGGTCCCCGTTGCTGAGCCTTCTCGCGCGATAAATTTAATTGGTCAGCTATTAATTACCATGCGCGTCTTGTAATTAGTCAATTTCGCCACTCTGACGTCAGCTATTATACGAACTTGGTTCTTTCTTCCTCCCGTCCAAGGAAGCGTTTTTATTGGTGCAATCAACCGTTCGAAAGAGGTTCGATTTAACAGCAGTAAATATAACTAGTTTTTTTTTAGCAATCTTAATGCGTTTCACGTGTATCTCATCTTATTTATTCGTCTCGAAGATACAGTCTCACTTAAGCCTGATACACACTATTGGTTCGCTCACAGTTCGCTCACGGTCCGATCCAAATGTTCTTTCATTGTTTATAATGTAAGTATTCACCCTATAAGTACTCATCGAAGCCA